ATTTGCAAAATTGAATCGCAAATGGTGATGATCCAGAAAGCTTTTGATCCAAAAATGTTCTCACTTTGGGATGACCGCCTTGGTCATCCTGAGACAATAATGATGCAAAGAATTATTAAGAACTCAAATGAATATCCATTAAAGATCCAGAAGGTTTTTTTGTCTAATAATTTTTCTTGTGCTGCTTGTTCTCAAGGTAAATTAATTATTAGGCGATCTCCAATGAAAGTTACTATTGAATCTCCTATTTTTCTAGAAAGAATTCAAGAAAATATATGTGGGCCCATACAACCAGTATATGGACCATTTAGATATTTTATGGTATTAATAGATGCTTTAACACATTGGTCACATGTTTGTTTGTTGTTCACTCACAATGTTACATTTGCGAGATTTCTTGCTTAAATAATCCGATTAAGAGCACAATTTCTAGATTATGCAATCAAAACAGGTGGTCTTGGTAATATTGGTGAGTTCACTTTCCAAGCATTTAATGATCATTGTATGTAAATTGGGATTAATGTTGAATATCCTGTTGCACATGTACATACACAAAATAGTCTAGCAGAATCATTTATTAAACGGCTCCAGTTAATTCCCAGACCATTACTGATGAGAATAAAATTGCCTATTTCTACTTGGGGACATGCTATATTGCATCTTGTAGCACTTATTCGTATAAGGCTGACAAGTTATCAAAAAGACTCCCCGTTACAACTTGCATTTGGGCAAGAACCAAATATTTCCCATTTATGAGTCTTTGGCTAAGCAATATATGTTCTAATTGCTCCACCACAGCGCACCAAGATGGGTCCACACAGAAAGTTGAGAATTTATGTTGGATTTAAATCCCCTTCCATATTTTAATATCTTGAACCCCTAACAGGTGATGTTTTTATGGCAAGATTTACCGATTGTCATTTTAATGAAACAATGTTCCTAGCATTAGGGGGAGAAAAGAAAGATATGGAAGAATAAAATGAGATTTTATGGAATGCATCTTCATTATCTCTTTTTGATCATGGCACAAATCAATGTGAACTAGAAGTTCAAAGAATTATTCCTTTGCATAATGTTGCAAATCAAATACCACATACATTTATTGATACAAAGAAAGTGACAAAGTCATATATACCAGCCGCTAATGTTCCAGCTCGTATTAATATCCCTGATGGGAAAATTGAAAATATAACAGCAATGAGTCTAACGCACACCTAAAGTATGGTAGACAAATCGGTTCCAAAGATAAAAATCTCTGGAAGAGAAATGGAAAAGATAAAGAAGCTGTCACTCTTGAAGAGATTGGCGCTCATGAAGAGGCTATATTGCTAGAACAATTAACTGACACAAAGACCCCAAAAGTGGTTCAGGTACCAGAAAATACTGAGATCTCAATAAATTATATTAGTACAGGAAAACAAAGGAACCATAATAAAATTGTTGTCGACATCGTATTTGCATATGAAGTAGTGCTTTGTATAGTGAAAGAAAGCGAGTACCTTGAACCAAAGTCCATCGAAGAATGTCGACGTAGAAATAATTGGTCAAATTGTAAAGATGCAATTCAAGCAGAACTAGATTCCCTCACAAAGCGAGAAGTATTTGGACCTATAGTCTAAACACCCGGGGATATAAAACTAGTGGAGTACAAATGGGTCTTTGTATGAAAACGACATGAGAAAAATGAAATTGTGAGATACAAAGCACGACTTGTTGCATAAGGTTTCTCACATAGACCCAAAATTGATTATGAGGAGACATATTTTCCTATGGTGGATGCAATTACTTTTCGGCATTTAATAAGCCTGACAGTATCTGAAAGACTTGATAGCATCTAATGGATGTGGTGACCGCATATCTATATGGGTCACTAGATAATGATATTTATATGAAAATTCTTGACGAATTTAAGATGACTGAATAATGTAATTCAATACTCTGGAAAATGTATTCAGTTAAATTACAAAAATCTTTGTATGAGTTAAAACAAACGAGACGCATGTGGTACAATCACCCCCAATGAATATCTCTTAAAAGAAGGATTCGTAAATAATCCCATTTGTCCATCCGTGTTCATTAAGAGATTAGACTCCAGATTTACTGTCATAACTGTATATGTTGATGACTTGAATATTATTAAAACTCTTAAAAGAGCTCAAAGAAACTATAACATATTTAAAGAAAAAGTTTGAGAGGAAAGACCTCGGTAAGCAAGAGAAAGCTCTTCTGATCAATACCATTACCAAGTACACATCTCTGACCCTCGTATTAAAACAACATGAAAAGGAGAAATTGTTAGCATAAGTTTTTAGAACTTGCAAACACTTTAAAGCTTTTATTTGCTTTGATTTCTTTTATTAGCCTGTTTTTTATATTCGTAACTACAATAATGTATATTAACAAAATAGAATATGTATACATAAATGTACAAAAATTATATACATAAAGGTTTATGCTTTTCTTAAAAAAGGAATTTATTGTCGTCATCAATTTCCGTAAAATTTTCCAATAGAATATCTGGTATATTTACGCAATTTACTCTTCTCGTAATATATTTATTATTTATTTATCAATTTCATTTTTCTCACTTTTATTTTTATCATTATCTCTCAAACTATATACTTAATTTTAAAATGTCTTTTAAGTTTTTAAAACAGTACAAAACATTCCTAATTTATAAAAAAAATATATCAAAAGACTCATTTTGTTTTCTTTTGTCTATAATAGTGATGAAATTGCTGATGTGATAAGAATTTAATGATTTTTTTATTTGATTAATGAGTATTAGAAGTTAATAAAAGGTATTATAAATAAAAAAAGCATTAAATTAAAAAAAGTTAACAAAATCCAGAAGTTGAACAAATCAATGAGCTTTTTTTTAATAAAAAAAAGAAAAATCAAATGAAAATTCAGGGTCGTTTATTTTGTTGATTTAAATTTGTAATTTAAATTGAGATGTGATTTTATATGAGAGTTTTTTATTATAATAAAAAATTTAAATGTGACTGTTTCTGAGAATTTTTACTGTAATAAAATTTAAATTTTAAACTCGAATGAGTGATGTGAACTTTAAATGTGATTGTTTTTGAGAACTTTTTACTGTAATAAAATTTAAATTTTAAACTCGAATGAGTGATGTGAACGGAGGTATATATGAAACCATCAAACAAAACTCAGAAAATTAATGACAACACTCAAATCTAAATCCATGTTTGTTGACGCTCTACCTTCCCATCGCGAACCCATCCTTGCTGAACCCATCCTCGTTGAACCCATCCTCTCACTCTCGGAATGAGGTTCAACGGCCATAAATCTAGGGACTCCTGATCATTGGGAACTGATTCGTTTAAGATTTCTCTTTCTCTCTCTCTGTTTTTTTTTTTTTTTTGGTTCTGTTTTCCCATTGAATCTGAACGTTGATGCCTATTTGGTTCGTGGGAGTATTACCAGGGAAGTGGGAATAGTATCATCTATGCACTCATTATTGGAACTTGGAAGCAAGACACCATGTCTGTCGATCAGTTCGAAATGACCAATAAGTAAATTTTTTTTAATTATTAAATCTACATATTTTTTAATTTTTACGTGATTTTATATAAATTCAATAAATAGAATACTTGACCTACTAATTTATTAACATACTAGATAAGATCCCTTGTTATAATCTATGTTTATTTCCTGTCCTTTTCATTTAAATGTTAATTCGACTTCCAGGTAACGTTATCAAATCATCCACGTCGTCATTAACTCGTAAGGAGTATTTAACTCGTAAGGAGTATTGTGTAATTTCCAGTCGCCTACCTTAATTATCTAACCTATGAAAAGTGTTGTTATATGACATTCCTTATTTTACTTCTTCTATGTGAAGTATCATATTATGCAACCGCTCATTTATTTATTTTAATTACATTTATTTCCTAACTTTCTTTTAATCCATTACTATTGACTTTTAATTCTGGTTTATAGTAATTACCAAGAGTATCCCCGATTAAAAAAATAGACATTTTATATATAATTTTTGTACGTTTATGTATACTAAATATATTTTTAATATATATGTAATATTATACTTACAAATATTAAAAAAAAAAACAAGGCATGCTAATAAAAGAAACAAAAATAAATAAAAGTTATGACCTCGTTCATTTTGCGGATTCGAGTTTTCAATTCGAGCTGAGATGTGACATTTTTTTGAGAGTTTTTTTCTGTAACAGAAAAAGTTAAATGTAACATTTTCTGAGAGCTTTTTACTGTAAAAACTTAAAACTGAAAACTCAAATCGATAAAATGAACGAGGCGCAAGTTCCAAAATCTTTCGTTGACAACCTCTCCTTTTCATGCTGTTTTAATACAAGAGTTGTATTTGGTAATGGTATTTATCAGAAGAGGTTTTTTTATGCTACATCTTTATCTAATCTTCATTCCTTTCTTCTTTTTTTCTCCCTCAACTTGCTTTTTCTATAGCAATCATTGTCCTATTTATACCACTTCAAGTACATCCCTTTTGACGAGTCAAAGAAAAAAAATAATAAGTGTAACACATGTCATTTGCCAAGTTTTCTATGCATGCAAGAGCGAACGTTAGTGCCTTAAGATTATTTGTACAGAATTAAATCTATGTTTTAAACATTAAAGTCTTGTTCATTTCACCGATTCGAGTTTTCAGTTATAAATTTTTACAATAAAAAATTCTCAAAAAATATCACATCTAATTTTTTCTGCTACAATGAAAAATTTTAAAAAAATATTACATCTCAACTCGAATTAAAAATTTAAATCCACAAAATAAACGAGACTTAAGTCCCTTAAACTATAGAGACTAGTATTATTCACTAGAGCTTATACTTTGTCTATAAATAGCTCTATTATCATTTGTTTTTTACGCAATATCTTTTTATCGAGTTGTAGGATACTGCGTGTATTATCATGCTTCTACAATGTCTCACAAACATACAGAATCTTCTCTCATTGATGCCGGAAATAATGTAATACCTCTTCCTTCTTCATCCTCTCGTGAAGAAGATACTATTTATTGTCTTTACGAGAGCGTTGGTATCTTGAGTTTTTAATTTCATGATATGGAAATACAGACAAAGTCTGAGCTAGATTATTGTTCTTTAAGGATTTCAAGAGTTGGAAGCACATGCCAACTTAGCCTTCGATCGCACCTATGATATGCAACATTATGTAGAGAGTAAGGCCTCGTTCATTTCAGAGGCCTAAGATCGCGACTCTTTATTTATGTCTATTTTCTAATTTTCTTTTAATCCATTATTATTGTCTTTTAATTACAGTTTATAATCATCACCAAAGAGTATTCCCGTACAAACCTCCAATATGGACCTTCTTGCTTCATCACAACACATCCATGTCTTTTGAGATTGGAATAAGGTCTAGCCCTCCTAAACCCTCCGTGAAGTAAAAACAAACCATTTTGAGATTGGAAGCTTGGTTTGGATGGAGTAATATTGTTTTGAAGTTGAAGTAATTCTTGGTTCCAGCTTACAGTCTTGGAATACTAGGTCCAATTTACCTCTGCACTTAAACATGGCTCATATTCTCAAAATGCGCGTCAATTTATAAACCTGAAAAAGGAGAAAAAAAAAATCACGCTAAGCCGATAAAAAAATGCAGTATGCTTTCTCAGGCTCCGTTCAGTTCACCGATTCGAGTTTAGAATTTGAGTTTTGCTACAGTAAAAAATTCTCAGAAACAATCACATCTAACTTTTTTACTACAGTAAAAAACTCTCACATAAAATCACATATCAACTCGAATCAACAAACTATTATATTATTTTGTCAATCTCACAGACTTCTTTAAAGTCTTGGGTTTTTCCTTGAATTTTGAATGAATTGATATGTTGGCCCCCTAAACTATTAATTATGGCGTATTATCCGTTGAATTTAGTAAAATGTTGTAGAGTGCCCTTAAATCGATGAATGATGTTAAGGAAACTCCCTCATGCATACGACTTTACATGCTCAGATCATTATTTAAAATTTGGGACTCTTCTTTTAAATGAGCTCAAGTAACGCATGCATGCGGTATCATTTTTCTGTCTAAAATTTGACAGTCATTTGCAAATTTGAAAGGAAATGCCCTCATGCACGTGATATGACGGCTGTGTTTGGAGTTATTTTTGTTTATGTTTTTTATATTTTTCGAGAAAAAAATGAAAATGAGAGAGAAACGTCAACGACGTTTAACATAATTAAAGATAATGAAAATGATTTTTTGATTTAGTATAAAATGGGAGATAAATGAAAAATAATTTTTAATCGTTTTTCATTTTTTGTTTCCGTTTTCTCCTCTCCCAAGTAGTGAGAGAGACATTAATGAATTTTTTTATACTAAAAACAATCTGTTGATAAAATTATCAAACGCATTTTCAAAAATAATTTTTGTCTGAGATTGAAAACGTTTTCATTTTCATACAAAAAAATAAAATCATTTTTGAACGAGTTTTAAACGTACCTGACATGTTATCATCGATCCAAAATTTCATTTTATTCCGTCAAACTAGCTCACCCAACGCGTGTGATGGCATTTCTATCCAAATTTTAACAGCCATCACCGACTTAGGGGCACTCTACGACAATATTAATTTAAGGGACTAATTTTCAAAACTTAAAACATTGAGGGATAACTTGCCAATTGTGAAAAGTTCAGGGGCATATATGCCAAATACCCTGAAAGAGAAAAGGAAACCAACCTGGGCAGTCCTACTAGGTAAAGGCACTTCCAAGCAGTGTCTGAGCGCATCAACTCTGCAAAATAAATTAATAGATAAATAAACAAAAGAAGATAGAATTTATTAGTATAATTTATTGAAAGCAATCCAACATAATAGGACTCCTTATAAAAGCAAAAACAAAGCCAATGGGGGTGGGAATGAAGGAAAAATAAAATCAAGGTCAAAAGTTACCTTTTACTAAAAGTTTTCCTAGTATGTTGATGTTCCTTTACAAGCCCTTGACCTCCATACTCTACCTCATCCGTGTTTAGAATAAGCTGTGGCCACAATATCAGATAGATTTAATCTCTTGTTTTGACAGGCTCCCTTTTTTCACAGTTTGAATCACAATTCAACTCTCTTACGACAATACTTTCTCTCATAAAAAATAGCTTTGCATCTCAAGTTTTCAACTTGAACCCGCGAAATGAACGGGACAAAAACAAAGGAAGCTATGAAATTTGCATGGTAAGACCTACTTGATATTCTCCAGCTTCTTCTACACCTACTCCGTATCCTTCATAAGAATCTGTTGGATGAAAGTTAAATATAAAGAGAAGTGGACCTCTCATGTACGCTATTACCTGCAATAAGAAAGAATTATCTTCATTACTAAAAGATCACACTAGTTTTGTGTCAATAAACAAGGGAAATATTCAAATCGTGCCAACTTTAATGGCGTATGTAATTATCAAAAAAAAAAAAAAAAACACTTTAATGGCGTATTTGTGTGTTTGGGGTAAAATTAGAACTATTCTTTTTTAAACTAATAAAAATGATAAGCATTGAACATTAAGGGTATTAAACTAATAAAAGTAAGAGCGCATAAAAATAATGGACTAGAATGAAAAAACAGAAAAATAAAAATAAGGACCGGCTAACAGAACTTAGACAAAAATTATATAACAGGACCAGGTAACTCGATCAACTTAAAAAAAAAGACTAGATAAGTAGATTAATTAGAAAATAAAATAACATGACCAGATAACTAGATTATTCAGCTAAAATAGATGAAGATAAAGCGTGGACCATATAATTGGATTAATAACGTAAAGTAAATGACAGAAAATAAATTGCATAAAATGTAAAAATGTTGAAATAAAGTAAAGAGATAAGAACTATATGAAACAAGCAGGTATTGGATTATGAATAACTTTATTAGGAAAACTTACATTTTAAGCATGTAACATTACAAACAAAACTAAAATTTTAGAGTTTGTGGCGTAATAGCTCTTAGATTAGGTTCTTCATCTTGTTTGTTCTCTATAGGGACTTTTTTGGTTGTCTAGGATAAGAAGAGAAGTAAGGGATATATGGATTTAAGACTTAGAAGGTTAAGGTGTTGTTTGGTATAAGGGTTCTGAACTCGGAACCATGATTCTAGTTCAGAACTAGTGTTTGTTTACAAAAAGTAAAAGTGGTTCTGATTTGACTCACTCAGAATCAGTGTTTGGTTAGGATGGTTCTGATTCAAGGTTTGAACCCTAATGTGATGTTTTAAACCATGAATCACCCCTGATTCTAAAACCACCTCTTGGTTTTAGGTGGTTCAAACCCCTGATTCTGATATGGTTTCAGAACCATGATTTGGACCCAAAATCATGAATCATTGTCCTGGTTCTAAAATCAAAAATAGAATCACCTTAATTTGAACCCTCATACCAAACAAACCCTAAGATACTTAGCTGAAATTTGAACAAGGAAGAAGGAAAAGAGAAAGAAAGAACTAAGAGGGAGATTAGGGGAATGAGACTTTGCTGATTTCTCTATAGCTGATTGTGCCGTGTCTCTCGAAAATGACTGAGCATTAATAGACTTCTTGCTCCGAGAGACCTCCAAAATTAGCTCCTTGAAATCAATAGTGGTTTCCTTGAAACCTGATTAGGTTTTGCATACATTTTGCAATTGAGGCTGGGCAGGTGTCCAACACCTTTTGACACGTGTTCTTGAGGCTGGGCAGGTCTCAAACACCCTTTGACACCTCTTCTTGAAGCTGTCCAGCTGTTGAAGGGTTGTTTGAAACTTGATTTTCTGTTATTCAGCTGATAGGGCCTTAAAATATTTAGTTTTTTTCAGCAACCAGCATTTTTCCTCTTGTGGCCGCTCTTTTACAGACAGCTTTTAGCTATCAGATTTTTTTAACTAATTTCAGCAAAGACACATTTTTTTACCCCAAAACGGTGTGTGTATGCGGTTAGCGCTTGAGTAAGCAATCACACTGGCAAATAGTTTATGAAAGGGGTTGAAGACTAAAATAAAAAGAGTATTCCTTTGTAACACTCCATTTATTAGGGGTTGGATTGCAATTCCTGTTGAGATACCAACCAATATGATTAGCTGAAATGAGAGTTTCCATACCTTTGTAGTGTCATTTACATGATGAATGTTTGGTTGAACTCCTGAAAGTATTCTTCCCTTTTCATCCAAGTTCATCAAGTCCTAAAAAGGAGGAAATGAAAAAAGGAGTAAATTGACTGTATTTCTACCCATGTTGTGCTTTGTTTAATGAACAAAAGTTTACTCTACGGTTAACAAGGTACAAAAAAACCCTGAATGAAAACACCATCTTGAACATCTTTTAACATGTTGCATAATCGAAGAACTACAATAACACATAAGCATGTCATGGAAAAAACAATGATATTATATTGACACCTTATCAAAGATAAATAAATTGCGATGTACTCCTTCCTTTGCTAAAAGATCCCACCGACGATTGGCTAGTGAGAATGAGAAATTGTTGCTCGACATTGGGAATTCGACCCTCTGGCACATGAGAAGATCATTAGTAGCAAGAACAGTAGTTTTCAAGGATAACCATCGGAAAGCAACCTCACCTCCGGATGCCCAAATTCATTGCCCATGAAATTGAGGTAGGCACGGCCACCAATTGTGAATGTAATTAATCTGATCATCTGCCTCGGCATGAGAAATGACATAAGTTGATTAAGATGATTGAGAAATGACAATAATTTATTTGTACTCTGTAAATTGTTGTAAGAAGTGATTTCACTCGTGATTAATAAAATCTCCAGTTTCACTTCCAAAAAAAAACGTAAGATGACAATGATTCAAGCTTAAAACAAAACTCATTTGGATGGGCTTTTCACAAGTACTTCCAGAGTACATATAGATCTTTTCACTAAGATATTTTATACTCTCGTAGAAATATTCTTGTGTTGATTGTATATAGTTTGTTTCACTAAGATAAATTACACTCTCGTAGAATTATTCTTGTATATTCAATCTACTGTAAACCTCAGATTGTCTTACTCTTGAAAATTTGATTTACATAAACGTGACTGTTGTCCTACTAGAATACTTGACAGCATAGCAGATTTGACCATCCCCTTATCCATCCTTGCTATTTAGAAATAGTTGGTTCATGGAGAATGGAGAAGCAAAAATATATAAGAACAAAGTATACCTTAAGTAAAGAACACCCTCTAAGCAATGATTCTTTTGTAGCATCAGAATCCTTCATTATCTCACCAAGTAATATCTCTGCAAATGAGTGCCCTCCAGAAATTGACTAACATGGAAGATCGGAAGGCGAAAACAAGTTGAAGTAAGAACAAACAAAAACATTGTTAGGTATTTTTATTAGTTGGCAATTTATTGGCAATCTTATAAAAATTCAAAAAACAGGTTCAAGAAGATCTAACAAACATCATTCGACACTGAGAATATTTCAAGAGAATTCTAAATGTAGAAGAAGGAATTAAAAGTAGATGATAACCTGGTTGTGATTTTCAGCATAAACAAGCATCTTATCGGTGTATTGTTTATTGCCCGTTAATGTGCTCACAATCTGATAAACACGAGTAAAAAGTCATTGAGGGACAACTTTAGAGAACAGAGAAACATACAAATGAATCAACAATGAATAGCATCAAAGATGCTGAGATGTCACTCTATAAAATACAACCTTACTCATGCTCCACTCATGGTCTGGCACATTCTGAAGAAAAGATGACCACATATCTGGCACAGACAGATTGACATAATAATCAAATCCCAATCCACCTTGAGAGGTTGGCTCACATAGACCAGGATAATAGGTTGCCTGAAAATCAAGAAAAAAAATGAGACTTCACAAATAATAGTGTAAAACAAGAATACTATGGAACAAAAAGATAATACAAGGGATGGAATTATCATGAACAAGAAATGAATGAGAAGATAAAAGTAGTGAAGCACAATGTTTGTGGTAAAATTAACTTCTCTTTTTGACACTAATAAAAATGATACACATTAGATAAAAGACTAGAATGAAAAACAGAAAAATAATAAACAGGAACGGCTAACTGGAATTAGACCTAAGTTAAATAACAAGACAAGGTAACTAGATCAGCTTGGAAGTTTTTTTTTTGAAAAAAAAAAAAAAAAAAAAAAAGAAAAAGACTTACCTGGATCAACATGGAAATAAAATAAAAGACCAGATAACTTGATTAATTAGAAAATAAAATAACAGGACCCGATAAACTGGATTAACCAACTAAAATAGCTGAAAAGTTCGTGGAACTGGAAAATAACGTAAAGTAAATGACATAAAATAAATTGGATAAAATGTAAAAAAATGCTGAAATAAAGTAAAGAGATAAAAGCTAAACGAAACAAGCAGGAATTAGATCATGAATAGCTTTATTAGAAAAACTTATATTTTAAGTGTACATGTAAATCACTAAGATAACTGAAATTTTAGGGTTTGTAGCTCAATAGCTCTTAGATTAGGTTCTTGATCTTGTTTGATCTCTATAGGGACTTTTTTGGTTGTTTAGGATAAGAAGAGAAGGGATATATGGATTTAGGACTTAGAAGGTTAAGATATTTGGTTGAAATTTGATGACGGAAGGAAGCGGGAAAGGAGAAGAAAGAACTGAGAGGGAGATTAGGAAAATGAGACTTTGTTGATTTCTCTCTAGCGGATTGTGTTGTGTTTCCTTCTAAATGACTCAGTATTTATAGACTTCTTGCTCCTAAGGACCTCCAAAACCAGCCCCTTCATTATAGTGGTTTCCTTGAAACCTCATCAGTTTTGCATGCATTTTTACAGCTGCCATTGAAGCTGGTCAGGTGTCCAACACCATCTGATGGGTCTTAAAATATTTGATTTTCTTCAGCACCGATCGTTTTTTTGTTTTTTTTTAAACCCTCTTGTGGCTGCTCTTTTACAGACAGCTTTTAGTCATCAGATTTTTTAAACTAATTTCAGCAATAATACATTTTTTTACCCCAAAACACACAATAACGATCGGCTACTTACATCTTCAGCAATCGTGATAATATTCGGGTGGAGACCATGCAGAATTTCATTTGCCAAAATGAGATATAACAGGGCTTCCCTGTCTACAGATTGATTACAGTACCTACAATATGATAGGATTAAGACTCAAAACAATATCTTGCCAGAAATAAATGTTTGGTATGGTTCAAAACCAGGAGATTAATAATGATACTCAACGTAGTAACACATGATTTAACAACTTATTTAGTTAATACTTCACACTTGAAAGTTATTTCTTAAAATCAGCAAATAAAGAGAAGCAAAAAGTTTTAAAGGACGCCTTACTCTTCCAAATCACCCGTAAAAGAAGCGAAACCATTGTGTGTATACATCATTGACGACAGTGAATGGAACTGGAAACCATCGATTTGATACTCCACAACCCACCTGTTCAAACCCATTAAAAACATTTTTAACGTTATTTACCCAACGATATATTTATGCATGTGATTAAAAATACTTTTCCAAACACAGAAGAACACAAGATAAATTAAAAAGCACCTGCCTCAACAATGAAATTTCAACTAATTTTGAAACTGAAAGGTTTGACTAGCTTTTGAACTTCAACTTTTACCAATTCAAATTTGAGAGAAGGAAATGTAGAACATCGAGATCTCCGTATTTGAGCATCCTGGTGCCCCAGTACTTGTGGTGCCCTCTTTTACCTGTTCAAAAAGAAAATTTGAAGACAAAACAACATCTTACGTGAAGAAATGTTGAAGACTAAATTTGTCAAATCAAACAAGTCACGGCACAAATTAGAAGAAACTAAGCTAGCCGTTTAAGTTTGTAGAAGGCGTGGACCCGAAATCCGAACAAAAGAAGTTTCCATTTGGAACCAACCCTAGTTAACTTCAAAGATAAAGCTCAAAAGGTAGATAAGAACAATCATAGTCACCTTTTTAAAGCATATAATACTTGCCATGAACAAGGTAAGTAGACTAGAGGAAAGAAGGAAAGAAGAAAATTAAGTTTAAGTAATGGCAAGAATAGTAGAGGAAATACCAGTATGAAAGTAGCAGTCATTTGACCCATCAAATAGTGATAACCCAACCATCTCATCCGCAGCTGAGTACGAATGGACGATATCTAAGAAAACCAGCAGTCCAAGTCCTATAAATTAAAAAGGCATGCAACATTGTAAGTTTATTAACCAAAAATAAAGAGACAACTGGGAAGAAAAGCACGTGAGGCATACAAATAATTTTAACATAAGATAGTAAGGAAATAGCACTGTTTTTGAATGTTTCCTAGTGAGATGTCCAGGGTAACAGTTCCTCACTTAGGCGTAAAATTGTCATCAACTTGTATTACAACAATTTCGGTTATTTACTATTTTATATCCTTCATTTTAAGCCTGGTAAAAATATATACCATGTATTTTGGATGCTCTCTACGTCATATCCGTGGATTTCAACTTTGTACCGAATTCATATCGCCTCTCAGTCAAAATGATGTTTTTAACCACTTAAACGAAGACTTTAATGTTGCGAGGTATAGAATTCACAAGTTGATGAAATTTTAACGAGTAATATCTTATAGCTTTTTATAGGAAGTCTGGAACCCATGTACATGCAAATCAAGAAGCCACTAAGCTACTGACAAAGCATCAATGAAAAGATTAGGTTCATGATTGAAAGGGAATAGCACTAGATGAAGAAGATAACCATGTGCTTCATCAACCAACCGCTTGAAGTCATCAGGAGTTCCAAATCGGCTGCTAACGGCATAATGATTAGTGACCTGCATTTTTATGAAGAGGTTGGACATAAATGGAATCTGCACTGAAATGCAGCTGGTGGAAGTTTTTATAACAAGATAAAAGAAAGGAAGCTAAACGAAAAATGAGTCCAACCACGTAAGTTTATCCAAAAGCAAACGGGAGACATTAAAATGGAAAAATTGGTAAGTTTTATTAGCTGCACTAAACATTCAATGAGCTCTAATTCCAGAGGAATGATATCCGTGCAAATTTTCATTTCTAGTGTTTACCGTCAGAATATAAATAAGAAAAACACTAAGGAATATGGAAATTTTCAGACAAGCGAGTATGTTTTTGCTCACTCTGTAGCCAACAGTGAAATAATCTTTGTGCTCAACAACTCCAATAAACTGGATTGCATTATATCCAGCTTCCTTTACATGAGGAAGGACCTGAACGGAATATAGAGAACAAAACTTAAGAATCCATAGTAATATCACAATATAGTGGATATAAAACAGTGAAGAAACAATCAAGGAGTTGCCTTCTCTGTAAAATCATTGAAAGTAGATATTTTTGGCTCTGATCCACTTATTCCAACATGACATTCATATATCCGCAATGATTTCGGCACTTTTGGACTTGTGTTTCTCCATTTGTATGCGTCTTCTGGAGGTGGTTCCCAGTGGATTGCAAAAGCTTGATTTCCTTCTGCATCGGAATGCATATAATATTGTTTTGGATGACGAATAATAAGAGCAGCATGCCAATTGTTGTTGCATCACAATAGAAACATAATTTAATACGAAATAATAGTTAAGAAAATAATAATAGAAAGAGAAAAGAAAAGACGTATGATTGCTAAAGAAGCTGGCTTAAACAAGTAGAGCAGTCTATATAGCCCCTTAACTGCAAACATTACTGAAGTGGCTGTGTTTAATACAACTCAAAATACCGTTCTGATGCAAAAGTTAAAGGGAAAAGAATTCGCAGCAAAATATAAAGTAAATTACCGGGTTGAACATAAGTAGCCCAAGCGGGAACTCGTTCCAATGGTCCATTGGGAGTGTTGAAATAGACCCTGTATTTACTTCCATGAGGAATACCCGGAGTGTACTTTTTCAACCATGCCTTCCTTCCTTTACGCGTCTCAAACCAGTAAGCCAAGGGAGGCTTCTTTGATTTAAATTTCTCTCGGGATACAGGATCAACAACAACATTGAAAATGTCATACTCCTTTCCATTGTCAATCACATCATAACAAGGTGAATTACTTGGTGGGTCATCCTTATGCTGTTCTTTCCATTCTTTATATCTCGTCTCTGCATCTGGTATTTCTCCCAATTCTTCTAAGGTTTGAGGCCCATTAGGGCCAAATATTTGCTCATATAACTTTGCCGGTACTTCAAAACGGTGGTTCAAAAACCGGTCCTCCCCAGGTTCCCAGTACTCATCATTCGCTTTCTTAAATATTTCTTCAATTGGAACACCACTATCACCTTTATCATAGTCTTCCACATAGTTATACTGCTGAAAATATAGTTCATCTGGATTTTCTCCCTCCCTTAGTTTATCTTCAAGAATAATGAACCAGTATCCATAATCATCATGCCCAAGGTGACCCTCTCTTGCTGCATTATCTGTTTGTGACCAGCCATTGAAGTCACCGACCAGTGCACAATACCGAGCACCTGTGTTTAAGCTCATATATGGTAATTGTTTTCTTAAAGAAACTGAAAAATAGCCACTTGAACAAGTACTTTTCAGGTTCTAGAAATTCAGTGACTAATTGTGACAAGTTTATCACATTTAGATTAAGTTTCAAATTGGACAATAGAGACTAACAATGAAATATTAACAAAATCCAAAACTTGTATTGAAGTCAAATAATAATGTATGTATGTAACTCAAGCAGAAAAGCTAAATGGCTAAATGTGACAAATTAAACATAACATACTCCTTGACGCCAAATAATTTCACACAAGTTTACACTCATCTGAAAATCATGCTTATCAGAAAAAAGAGAAAATCAGGCATAAATTCAAACCAGGAGCCCATTCCATATAATCAACTCGATGCTCCGGATGGCGATGCATACCCAGTATCTCAAATCTACAGAAAGCAAATATATAAAAAAAGTCTTAATCAACAAAAACTCAAACCAAAAAAAAATCAAAGGACAACGTAAACTAAAAACCAGGGAATTTCACAAGAATGTCGGCATCATAATCATATCATATTAACTAGAATTCCTGTTCACTTCAAAGAATAATAACTCAAATCCAAGTCTACTTAAAAGACACCTCTAAACGAACCTAGAGAACTTAAAAATGGAGAAAAAAAAGAGAGATGAGATTGCGTTTTGTAAAACATACCCAGAAGCCAAATCCCTGAGATTAACGTGACGATTGAATATTTCATCTTTCAGGTCTTTCAATGCTTTGTGTCTGCCAAACAAACAAACAAAAAATCAATTTCTGTAGCTTTTCTAAAGAGGTTTATAAGTTTCAAATACTCCAAAAAAAAAAAAAAAACATTTTTATCATCATTTAAGGTGTTTATAAGTTTCAAATACTAAAAAAAAAAAAAAAGACGAACTTTTTTATCGTCATTTAAGAAGTTTATAAGTTTCAAATACTCAAAAAATCAAACTTTTTTTGAGTCGTCGGATTCTGTACCTTTCACGAAGGAACTGAGCAAACTGTCTATGGGAAATGCCGGTTTTGGTGAGAAATCCAACTGGGTCAATCCCTTTTTCTGCGTCAGAATCACTTTTTTTCTTCTTGTTTGTTTGCCACCGTTGTTGTTTTTGTTGTTGCTGCTTTGGTTGTTCTGTGGCTGAGCATAAAACTTTATTAATTTTCTTGGGAAAACGGATTCTTTTTGGTCCGTTTGGGGATTGGAATACGAAGACAGAGCTGTTTGGATGCAGAGAAAATTTGGTTGGAAATGAAAGAGAAGTAGCCATGGCTAAGCTAAGAAAGTGAGAAATTTTGCTTAAGAGAGAGTGAGAATCTTGGGGGTTTAAGGATAAGAGGGAGGTTTTTGAGTTGACTCGGGAAAACAGACACAACTCGGTCTGTGACTCGCCCAGTGTTCAAGGAACACACAAGTCAAATATTTGTTTACTTTGCCGTATTGTTGCATGTTATTACAAAGGTTAATTAATTAATTAATTAATGGGGATTTTTATGGTAGAAATCGTAATACAACAATTAAAATTTAAAATAATAGATTCTATTAGTGGTTAAAAATGAAAGTTTCCTAGCAAGCGCAGTAACACTACAAGTTCTCTAGAAAAGAGATTTAAAAAAAAAAAAAAAAAAAAAGAGTGAGAAAAAGTTCACTCTTAATCGGTGGTTTCCATCCTTAATTAGCTTGTTTTGGTTCTATTTGCTATCTAGTCCTTAATGTAGTCCACATGTTAGCGGTTGTGTTTTCTAGCTTGTCGAATATGATGTGGCTTGATTGCAGTTAGAGATTATTGGTGGTTTTGTACAGCCGATTTAGCTTCTACTGAATAAAAAAACTTCTTCACCTAAAAAACTATATTATTTAGTTCGCTGATTTGAGCTTTTAATTCGAGTTGAGATGTGATTTTATGTGAAAATTTTTTTACTGTAGTAAAAAAGTTAAATGTTACTGTTTTTGAGAATTTTTTACTGTAGTAAAACTCAAATTCTAAACTTGAATCGGTGAAATGAACGAGATCTGAATTAAATTTATTATGAAATTATCAACAATCATTGGCTTCATCGATCCATAGTAACCTACATAAGCCAAAAGTCTAAGTAAAAATTTAATTTAGTGAAAACAATGTATATTGGGCATGGTTTAATAGTTATTTCATTATTTATCTATTGATGGGTATCATTATTTTAATTGTAAAATATAAATCAAACGATTGTAATAAATTAAATAGTTGATTAAAAAAATTATGACAATTAATAAAATTAAATTCTTATCACGTCACATTATTAAATTTTTTATGTTTAATATTAACCTCCCATAAAAACACAATCATTAAAAACTCGTCCTACATATATTATAAACATTGAAATATAATATGTGTTATATAAATCCCCATGTTTTAAATAATAATTTCCCACATTGGGGACTAACAAAATTACATTTTGAAGATTTAAGGGTCATTCCTACTGAATTTAGAATTTAGAAACTAAAATTATGTATTAAAAATAGTCAAGGGAATATTTGCATTGGAAGAAGCAACAAAATACAAGTATTTTCTTTATTTATTTTGCTGTATTGATTCAACTTTGTAGAAGCAAATAAGAAATCAGATATGGTTTTTCATAGAATACAACCATGTACATACAAAATCAGCAAGGGACCAGGGACCCAGATACTAATTTCATTGTTTCTTTGCATATTCTCTTGGTCCGAAAATAGTTGATCCAATTCTCACATTGGTGCTGCCCGTTTCAATCTGCCAGATCAGAAGTGTCAAGATCATAAGAATTCTAAGCATAGTTAAGAATAAGTGAAGAAAACAAGCGTTTAGAACACCGAAGTATAACTTCGAAAGAGTCGATAAGTCTTAGAATTGCATGTGCATCACATACATACCGCTTGCTCAAAGTCACCGGACATGCCCATGGACAGCTCACACTGCTCTTCGGTCAGTCCAAGCGCCTTGCAGACCTCGGTTCTACTGTTCAACAGCGTCTGAAGAATCACAATATTAACAAAAGTACACGGATTAATCGAAAGATCAAGAGTCAAAGAAGAACGTGAGCTGATTCAATTTCTGTTTTGAGAACTAAAGACACAAACTAATATTCAAACTCTTGAGGGGGGGTGGTTAGAAAAAAACATGTTACCCTGAAATTCTCTGGAGTTGAGGTGTAGTCTGGCATCCCAATTGTCATCAAACCAGAAAAGAGTAGATTTGGGCAGTGCAACTTAACATGTTTTGCGAGTTCGACAGAACCAGAAGGGTCAGTGCCGGATTTTGCTGCAAAAAGTCAAAAACATCGGTAACCAAATCTGTTACTGCAGGGAAGGTATAAATAGTTTTCATCTACATTTGAATTTGATAGCCAAGAAAAGATCATCCTAGTTAATATTACCACAAGATGGAATATCTAAACCAGACATTGTTTGTTTTACTTCTCTTGACTAGCAGCTAAATTAACACGTTTCTTGAGGCCACAAATAAAGTCAGGAATTGAAGACATGACAAAATATATATAATCAATTAACGATAAGCATAGTTTATTAGGCACTCTAATGCGGCAAATCTCATACATAATTCTAACTCATGAACATGCTTCTTTTCCTTCAGAAATCTGGCAGTTCGATTTTCACTCACATGCTTCTCCACTGGTATTCACTTGGACTAAAACCTTCAGTGGATTCCTTCCCAAGCTTGACACTGCATTGTCAAGATGACTTGCAATCTATAGATTACAAGGAGATAGCAACATATGGTCACTGTGAGTGTAAAGCTTATACCTCAGAGAAGGGGAGCTTCTGAATATCAGCAATGTAGACTCAAAGGTTCTTGTTTGTATGAGGATTTTGTGGAGGAAGGAGTGATATATTTATAAAAAGAAGCTGGCAAGTATACTATAAGAAAAATGTTAGCGTCACTCTTTCTGCCACTCTCTTTGTCATTTTCTGCATTCATTGTTTAACACGGGAACTCCATTAACATGATATATCATTACTTAAACAGAAAATGAGATATGACAGACAAACTAAAGGCACTTTAAAGATTACAAGAGGAGGAGAGGAAACTTATGGCACAGACAAACTAAAGAATTATATGCCCCACTGATAGAATTTTCCTTAATTCTGTATAAATTGCCTTAAACTGTGGGGCATACAATGGGGAGCATGAGATGAATTAAGTCAGTTTATATAATTTTTCTTTTAATTGTTATTATGATAAAGACTCATCTGGTGAAGTGTCACACGTTTCCTGTCCACTCACTGTACATTGGTCTGACTCTCCCAACTTTTTGAAAAAAGGTTTTTGAGATGGCTCTTTGTCGGTAAGTTCCATCCTCTCCTCTTGTCTTCTTTACCCTCTATTAGCAATAAATAAAGGCCTTGTTTGGTTGGAGAGTCCAAACCAGTGTGGTTGGAGAGTCCAAACCAGTGTGGTTTGAACCTTTTAGTTTAAACCACGTTGTTCAAAAAGTATCGTCGAAACCTTGGGTTCAAAACATGAGAACTTAGGAGGAGGGTTGGTTTAGAGACCCTTTTGTTTTTTATGGTTTAAATGTCACATCAAGAGCTCAAACCACTTTTTACTTTTTACAAACAAACATTAGTTTGAACCAAAACCTTGGGTTCTAACTTGAACCCTCCAACCCAACCAATATATTATATGACAGCTTCTTTCTATGAATATATTACTCCTTCATTCTCACAACCCTCATACAAGAACCTTTGTGCTCTCTTTACATTGTCAAGATGATTTACAATCTATAGATTTGCATCAACAAAAAGATTTAGAATTGCGAGTTGAAGCTTAACACCCATCAGGAAAAAAGCAAAGAAAAAAAAATGCTATTTAGCCGGAGCAATTCTAAAAGTTCACTATGGCACAAAAAGAATATATATATATATATATAGCAAAAATGAAAGAATATATATTTCTTATACCTTCTTGTTGTGCACACCCTCAACCATGCTGAGATTCGGTACTCCAGCTGCATAAATGAATAAATTACTGTTGTCACCTAAAATGGAATAGATTATCTATTTCTTTATGCATTGGAGATTAAGAAACACATCCAACTTTTATACCTAGTAAACCATTTGTTTTGCTAATGCTATTAGTAATAAAATTTCTTCCAAAATTTGAAAATTTAGAAACAAACCACAAAGGTTTAAAAAAGAAATTAATCAACAAACCGAAAGTACAAAGCTTCTATAGTAGTAAAATGACATATTTTTCTCAACGAAAAGTGATCAAATTCCCATTCTTTATGTTAAATCTCTGATAATCAGATCATCAATCTTCGTTTTATTCAATAAAAAACACTTCGAATTTGCAGAAAATGTCATGAAAACAAACATACAGAGAAGAGATTTGACTTTGTTACTCTGCAAATGCCCAACGAAATGCCATTCCACATCCTCAGGAAGCTGCTCAAAGATCAGAGAAAAGCTTCAGAAACTCCATTTCCATTTCAAGTCCAGAATAGAGAGAGAGGGAGACCTGAGGAGCTTTGTCGAGGATCTCATGAACGTAGTTTTCGCCGAAGCATCGGTGGCCGGCGTCGTAGACTTGGCGGATGAGAGAGACTGGCTTCGTCTTCGAAACCGCCACGACCCGAATCAGCTCCGGGTCGCGACCCGACCGCTCCGCCGCATAACGGACCCGCGCCATTACCGACCGGAGCGCCGCCACGGCCGCTCCTTCCACCGCCGGAGCAGCCATGTCCAAGCAATGGGATGAGATTAGGAAAATATTCTGATTTTTCATTTTATTCTCTCTTCTTCTTGTAAAGGGTATGGTGGTAAAATCAAGTATGCGAGTTTGAGGTTGAAGCTTGCAAGATGCTTTTTTAATTATTATTCTCGTTAGTATCCCTCAATTTTAAGGTCCTTCTTAGTTTACCCTCTGAAGTTTAATTTTTTTTCAATTAACTTATTTTATTGTAATTTTTGTTAAAATTAGATGGAAAATAAGGATGTTAAGTGTATTCATATAGTTTTTACATGTTTTTTTAATAGAAATATAAATAGAAATACTGTCTGACTGCGTTATTCTCTTTTTTCTATTTATTTTAACAAAAATTACAACAAAAAATGTTAAGTGAAAATAATTTAAAGTTTAGGAGTAAACTGACATTAAACTTAAAGTTTAAAGGGCATAAGTGATAATAATCTTTTTTTTTTGTTCTCCTTTGGAATTGGAAATAGTTGAGTTTTTTTTTTTTTTTTCAAAAAAACTTTTTTTTTAGGGTGAACAAAAATAGTTAAGGTTAAGAAAGTTTTTGTTGGCAAAAAACATTATGAAGCAACTGAAATAATTTATACCTAAATGTTCATGAAATATCATTGGTTACCTTGTCATTTAAGAAAATATCATCTCGACACTTTGAGTCCTTTTTTATTTTTTGTCAAAATAATTATATTATCAACGCCTCAAGTCGACAATACTTACCGCATACAATAAAACGTGTTATTCCTCTAAGTCACCGTGCTTGTAGTGTTAGTTTTGTCAACCCAAATAGAAGATTTATTTACACAACCGTTACATGCATAATGACAATTCAAAAGTTGTAATTACCGAGCTCATGCCTACATGTATGTTTTAAAATATACGTAATTTTATTTGAGAATATTGTGAAAACATGCCTCTCTTAACTTCCTCATTTTGTGTCATTCTCTTAGAATTATGCCCTTTTAAGCTAATATGTAATGATAAAAATCTCATAGTGCTTAAAAATTGGCATAAATCTTCCCCCAATGAAGTCACATTCCTCTATATTTCACTAATAGTGTCATGTACAAGTATCTTTAAAGAAAAATATGTATTTTTGTCACTCTTTTTGTCACTTTCAATATTTATTATTTGTCATGTTCATTCCATTATCTCATAATCTGTTTAAATAATAATATATCATCTTAGTAGAGCTCGCATATTAAACAATAAATGCAGAAAGTGACGCTAACATTTCTCACCCTCACGATCATTGGTGGCTAGATTTTTTACCCCAAAATGTTTGGCTAGGCCAAAAATTTGCCTATGAACACAACTTGTAGCAAACTAAATACAATATGGTTACTGCCAACACTTTTTTTTTTTTTTTTTTGTGTTATTCCTCACTTAATTAAAAAAAAAAGTAAGAATGTAAAGGCAAAAATCAAGTATATTTGTTTCCATCAATTTGGTACACCAATACATTAGAGGAAAGCTCTTATTTTATTTATTTATTTTTTTCCCCTACAACCAAAATGGAGGAAGAACAAAAAAAAAAAAAAAAAGGACTCACAATAACAAAGGTCAATCAACTCTCATGCACGGTTCATTTCATAAGTTGGAGTTTACGTTTTTTCTGGTTCTCGGCTTGAGACTGAGCCTAGGTGGGCTGGTTCTGAGTGTCTGGAGCTTCTTTCTTATCCTTCGTATCCTTCTTATCCATGCTGAAGAACTTGGCCCAAGTGAAGATCTCCAATACCAAAGTAATCAAGCCCAAAACTCCTAGGATCCCAATATAAGCCCATTTCCAGGTGTTGTTGGGCTTCATAATGCCAATCCCATGGAACACGTTCACTGCTATCACAGCCAATAGGGCATACCCTAGAAAATGATGATACATGTCCCAGTACTTTCGGTAATCATCATGTTGTTTTGGCCTCAATCTCAATGCCAACATCTAACATAACATAAAAACCATATCATAATTTTCATAACAAGTGTTTGTAGTATAATATTAATATTGAATATCACAAGTGTGCTTGAGTGCTTGCTAAATTTTTTTTTAAGAAATAAAAATACTTGGAGAATATACCAAATTTTTTCTTGTGCACACAAAATTGCTATGAGAATTGAGATCACTAGTTGAGTAAATTTTGTCTCCGTAATTAGAGACAAATTTGGCCATAGTCATCTGTTGTGAGACACACGAATCGGACTTAGCGATGACTTATAACAACGCTCAAAGTAAAAATAATGATTTATTCTATACCATTATGCAAAATGTAGTAGTTTTTATACTATATGAAATATAGAATAGTTGCATCACAATAGTGATGAGTATTTTGTTTGTTTAATTCGGTGTTATGTGCCAATTATTAATGGATATCATTGATGTTCTTTATTTACCCAATTAGAAATTCACATGTCAATTTTGAGACCTACATATTGTGAGTTTATTGGTTGAAAAATATTTGCCTTATTTCCATGGATACACAACGAAACTTGATAGGCAGTTAGAGGCATACAATTATAGAAATATTAAGGGTACGTTTGAAATTCGTTCTAAAATGATTTTTTTTTTTTTTTTTGTATGAAAATGAAAATGAAAACGTTTTCAATCTCAGACAGAAATCATTTTTAAAAATGTGTTTGGTAGTTTTATTAAGAAATTATTTTCAGTATAAAAAACCCATTAATGTCTTTCTTTCTCTCTCTGCTCGAGAGAAGAGAAAACAAAAATAAAAAATAAAAAACAACATTTCTCTCTCATTTTACACTAAATCAAAAAATCATTTTCATTTCTATTTTTTATCTTTATTACGCCAAATGCCGTTTTGAAAACGTTTTCATTTTTTCTTTCTCAAAAAACGTGAAAAATAAAAATGAGATCAATTCCAAATATGACCTAAAATTCACGTGTGGAATTCGTTTGGAATTTAGAAGTGTGCAAATATAATATAAAAATGGTTTTTATCTTCACGAGAATAGAATCTCGCTACTCACAAAAGAACGACTCCTACTAAGTTGGGTCCGATCTACTCATCTAACAAGACCTACCTCGTGTGAGCAACGGGATTTTTACCCGTTGAGATGAATAGGAGTGCTCAATACAATAACATTAAGGATTTGTGTGGTTAATTTACCTGCAAAGTGGTAAATGTGAAGATGAAGATAGCAAGGAGGCGATGGGTGTGAAAGTTGTAGTGCTTAGAAGTACGTCCGAGCCAAAGGCCAATGGCCCAACCGGTGGTGCCAAGTACGTAGCCAACAATCTGGCAGCCAACATGAAGACAAAACCACCTCTCCAATTTCACCGGGAAACTCCTAAAATATCTCGCTAGAATCACCCCAATGGGCAAGAGCGTTCCCCACCCCACAATGTTCACAATCCCATGCACCTGAATTTCATTATACAAAAACCAAAACGAATGATCAACGGTTAGGATTTATCAAAAGCCTAATATGTGAAGCGATGACTAAGACCATCGCCAATAATGCTATATATTTAACCTCATTTTTAGTCCCAAACTATAATTTACTCCTTAACATTTAAAACATAGGTTTTAATAGAAAAGTTTAAGTAGAAGTTTAAATTTTGTAACGGAAAATACTATAGCAAAAAAGTTTGAACAGTAGTTCGAACTTATGAAACAAACGAAGGCTGAGAATGAGTCTACGTTCTATGAAATTCTTCCAAATTAATCTTTTTGTCTATCTGCTTTGTTAATATTTCTCCGGAAAAAACATGTGAGGACCATACGTGATTTAGTGAGAGTTAGTTTTACAAATTTATATGTTAGGATACGACTTAAAGAGATAGCCTTACCTTTTTGGTTGAGATTTTAACAATTGGATGAACAAAAGAACTATTTTGGGTCAATTTGGTAGGTCGGGGATTAATTCTAAGATGTTTTAAAAATTATAGACCAAAATTGAATTTGACCTATAATTTGGGCACTAAGGATGAGTTGAACCCTTTATGTTTCAAGTAACTTTTGAAAATATATCACCCTAATGGTAACTTTGAGGGCCAAGGATAGGGTATTTCTTTCTCTTTCTTGATCAAAACTTTCTCACATAGAATATTAAAAGTTTACGTTTGAAAACATAAAATTATCATACTATACAAAATGGTGGGTTCTCAATGGCCAGGATTAGCTTTTGGTGGCTGTGAGTTAAGTGTTTGAACTATGCAAAAAAAAAATTCAAAAGGAAAGATTGGCATCTAAGAGATTGCATAACTGGTAAGTATTTGAACTATGCAAAAAAAAAAATTCAAAAGGAAAGATTGGCATCTAAGAGATTGCATAACTGCAAAGAAAAGAATTGCAAGAACATCTAATGATTTAGGAAACTAATGGACCTCTTAAAAAGCTCCTCCAACTCCAAGTAAGGGAAAAAAAAAGTATTTGTTACAATGCTCAATTTTAGTAGTACCAAACATTTGTATGTTTCAATAACTAAATAAGCATAGCAGTGAGAGGCTAACTTACCATTCTAAGGTGACGGTGGTGATGTCCAATGCTACGACCCTCCCCGACCGTCATGTTTATGGTCTCGGTGCTGTCGAAATTCTGAAGATTTGGAGGGTGCATTTTAGGCTCCAAAGCTTCTTGGTCAGCATCATAGCCAACTTGCCACACATGGTTCAGCATCTCGACGTTGTAAACGCTAGGGTCAAGATCAAGCCTCGCGGAGAATGTTATGTATCCACTAGAATTCGAGGTTTCACCTGTCAAGTTGCGGACGTCAATTTCGATTTTCGAAGGTAGGAGCTCACAGCCAAGCTTTGTGTGGGTTGTGACATTGTATTTGTTGACTGATAATGTACCGTTGTTTTGTACAATGCCTATGATGGCCCTGGTTCCGACCATTTGTGGTCTATTTCCGGGGTTGACTCCCCATGCAATCCATTTGATACCGGCGTCCTGGGGAACACCGAATAAGATGTCGACTAGGATGCTTTTGTTTTGGCTTTCAATGTGATGATTCCAGCCAAATTCAGCTCCTAGAGTGGCTAATTTCTTGCAATTTTTAAGGTTTCTTTTAAGGGTAAGGTCGTGGAATTGGTCAGTACAAGAGTCATAGGCCTCAATTGTAAAGAGAAGAGAAAGAAAGGCCAATGAGAAACAGACTAATTTGGTAGAGGAGAACATACTTTTAGGAATTGTGATGTCAATCTTGGTTATGTTGCGTACTTATATTTTTTTTAGGGGGCCAATTCTTAAAGTTTGGATAAAATTAAGAAGTAAAGTTTATTCTGTTGTTATTCTTTTTCTTTTTTTTAAATCAAGTAAGAGTTCTGAAGACTTTGTGCAAATAATCCCCTCTCTCTCTCTCTCACACACACAAACAGATACTTTTTGGAAGAAGAAATAAGAGAGAACGTAGTAAATAGCAGATCTATGAAACTAAAGAAAGTAAATAGCATATTTTAAAACTATATGAAGCAAATAACATTTACTGTATAAATGTTTCATTTAGACTAGTTTTCCGTGTAATTTTTTTTTACAACTGATAAAATGATTTTTTTTACGTTACTAAAGAACTTTTACCACTAAATTATTTTTTACCACTCATAAATCAAACATTTACACGGTAAACTGTAATTTACTTCAAATGATTTTAAAATATGCTATTTACTTAATTTAATATAAAAAATATGCTATTTGCCACAGTTTCTGATTATAAAACTATTTAAGTAAATAACAGTTTACCGCGTAAATGTTTCATTTACGACTAGTAAATTTTTTTCACGTAAAGTTTCTTATTACAACTGACAAAAATATTTTTTCCTACGTAAATAAAGAATTTTTACTACGTAAATTATTAGACTAGTAAATTTTTTTCACGTACAGTTTCTTATTACAACTGATAAAAATATTTTTTCCTACGTAAATAAAGAATTTTTACTACGTAAATTATTTTATTACCACTCGTAAATAAAAATTTACACGGTAAATTATTATTTATTTCAAATAATTTTAAAATTTACTATTTATTTAATTTAATTTTAAAAATTTACTAGTCTTGTACAATTTAGAGTTTTTTTTATATGCGTTTAGTTGGTAGATTCGTGTCCTAATTTGAATCATAGTTCGTGATTCGTTACATTATTTTCTCTCATAAAAAACACACGTAAACTGAAAATAATTCTGAATTATAATTCTGAATCCATAAATCAACACAATATCATTTCAATTAAAAAAAGTGTCCAATTACAATTGGGCTCCGGGAAAAAGTAAAGGCAACATTACAGTTGGGTTTTGCATTTTGCAGTGCAAAAGTGAAAGCCAAGTGAATAATCCAGTTCACACCATGGTGCTTTCTCAAATGCTTCAAGAAAAGTTTGGTTCTGTCTTTTAACTTCTTCTGTGTCTTGATAAAATATACTACGATTGTAATTTACTATTATTTTCTGCACCTGAGAAGGTATAAACTATAAAGAAGAGAACATGATAATTTTTCTCTGACGTGAGCAAAAACTGCTTAGATTAAAACATCACAGGCTTTTCTTGTTCCTTACATATTGGAGATTCTCCTGTGAAAACAGAGAAAAGCGACAAAAAAAAAAAAAAAAAGAAATACACACATGAAATAATCCAAAACAAGATTACACAAGAACTATTGCTCTTTTGCTTGGCACTCATTTGATTCCTGTCCTGAACATTTTAAGGCTATTTGACGCTTTTACTCCCTGAATTTTACATGGATCGACACATTATCTCATTAACTTTTAATTTTGACGAATGACTACTTAGGGTTCGTTTGATATAAGGATTTAAACTATAATGATTCTAATCATGATTTTTGAATCAAAACCATGATTCATGATTCTGAAATCATGATTCAGAATCAGGAGTTTGAATCACCTTGAATCAAGAGGGGGTGGTTTTAGAATCATGATTTGAGCTAGTTTAAAACATCACATCAGATTCTGAATAATGATTCAAAATAATCCAAACCAAACACTGATTCTGAATCATGATTCTGAATCATAATTCAGAATCACTGTAAACAAACACTGATTCTGAACTAGGATATAAAATTATGATTCTGGATCCATCTACCAAATGCACCCTTAATAAAGTGTTGCAGGTGTCTCTGAAAATTATAAAACCATTAAAATTTGAACAGACTCTTGAGCATGTCGTTACTTAAGATTCTAATATTTGCCATTCAAACGAGCTAACATAACGTGTATGAGGGTGTTTCATTTAAATGTTAACAACCTCAACGACTTATATGTACTCTTTATTAAATTCAGGTACTAATTTGCTAAATTTTACACCAATTTACCAAAGTTTAGGGGAGAAAAGCGCTAAATACCCATTTTTTTAAGGAGAGAAGAATACTTCTAAGCTCTAGCCTTGGTTATTGCAAAAGGAAATTTGTAGTATAATCCGCTAGCTTTTCTTAAAAGCTCATTCCATTCCACGCCAGACTCCAAGAATTTTGATGAAAAAGAGTCCAAAAGTGAACAATGGAATTTTTATACCAATTAGTACTCTTCCAACAAATAAAAAAAAAGGAAAAATTGGCCTTCTTTTTTTTTACCACCTCTTTTTCTAAATAACCAAACTTTTTTTTATTTAACGAAAATGGTCGTTTTGTTTAGGAGTCAGTTATTGAGCATAGTTAATCAGTGATTGACCTACGATCAATCAGTGATTAGCCGATTCACTATTTATTTATCAATAGTTTATCATTAATAAAGATGTAATTTATTAATTAAAATTGATTAGTTACTAATTGATTTTAGTTAATTCTTAACATATATTGATTAATAATGAAGAATCATTGAATTAATCAGTTATAAATTAAAGTCAATCATTGATAGACCGTTAACCGCTAAATTAATTAGTGATTAACTACTAAGTTAATAAAAATGATCATTTCTGCAATTTTATAAAAAAAAAAAAAAAAAAAGGTTAACGTGTGAACTAAGTATACGAGGGTCATATCTTTTCATATGAAAATGGAATTTTTATTTTGGTTAAAATATGAAAATGAATTAAGAAGTTCGTGTTTCATGCATTCACAACAATATGCCTTACCCCAGACACAGAACTTCCGATGAATATTTGCTTTACAAACTCAGAGCTAGATTCTTTTGCCTTTTAACTTTGCTCTTGTTTAAGTTTTCTAAGACTGAACCTTCTTTAGTATAAATTTTATATTTATATTTTCTTATTACTTGTTGCATGGTCCCTCTTAAAAACTGTTTTCTTGATGGTACAAACTATAAAGAAGAGAACATGATAATTTTTCTCTGACGTGAGCAAAAACTGCTTAGATTAAAACAGCACAGGCTTTTCTTGTTCCTTACATATTGGAGATTCTCCTGTGAAAACAGAGAAAAGCGACAAAAAAAAAGAAAGAGAAGAAATACACACATGAAATAATCCAAAACAAGATTACACAAGAACTATTGCTCTTTTGCTTGGCACTCATTTGATGCCTGTCCTGAACATTTTAAGGCTATTTGACGCTTTTACTCCCTGAATTTTAGATGGATCGACACATTATCTCATTAACTTTTAATTTTGACGAATGACTACTTAGGGTTCGTTTGATATAAGGATTTAAACTATAATGATTCTAATCATGATTTTTGAATCAAAACCATGATTCATGATTCTGAAATCATGATTCAGAATCAGGAGTTTGAATCACCTTGAATCAAGAGGGGGTGGTTTTAGAATCATGATTTGAGCTAGTTTAAAACATCACATCAGATTCTGAATCATGATTCAAAATAATCCAAACCAAACACTGATTCTGAATCATGATTCAGAATCATAATTCAGAATCACTGTAAACAAACACTGATTCTAAACTATGATATAAAATTATGATTCTGGATCTATATACCAAATGCACCCTTAATAAAGTGTTGCAGGTGTCTCTGAAAATTATAAAACCATTAAAATTTGAACAGACTCTTGAGCATGTCGTTACTTAAGATTCTAATATTTGCCATTCAAACGAGCTAACATAACGTGTATGAGGGTGTTTCATTTAAATGTTAACAACCTCAACGACTTATATGTACTCTTTATTAAATTCAGGTACTAATTTGCTAAATTTTACACCAATTTACCAAAGTTTAGGGGAGAAAAGCGCTAAATACCCATTTTTTTAAGGAGAGAAGAATACTTCTAAGCTCTAGCCTTGGTTATTGCAAAAGGAAATTTGTAGTATAATCCGCTAGCTTTTCTTAAAAGCTCATTCCATTCCACGCCAGACTCCAAGAATTTTGATGAAAAAGAGTCCAAAAGTGAACAATGGAATTTTTATACCAATTAGTACTCTTCCAACAAATAAAAAAAAAGGAAAAATTGGCCTTCTTTTTTTTTTACCACCTCTTTTTCTATATAACCAAACTTTTTTTTATTTAACGAAAATGGTCGTTTTGTTTAGAGTCAGTTATTGAGCATAGTTAATCAGTGATTGACCTACAATCAATCAGTGATTAGCCGATTCACTATTTATTTATCAACAGTTTATCATTAATAAATATGTAATTTATTAATTAAAATTGATTAGTTACTAATTGATTTTAGTTAATTCTTAACATATATTGATTAATAATGAAGAATCATTGAATTAATCAGTTATAAATTAAAGTCAATCATTGATAGACCGTTAACCGCTAAATTAATTAGTGATTAACTACTAAGTTAATAAAAATGATCATTTCTGCAATTTTATAAAAAAAAAGAAAAAGGTTAACGTGTGAACTAAGTATACGAGGGTCAAATCTTTTCATATGAAAATGGAATTTTTATTTTGGTTAAAATATGAAAATGAATTAAGAAGTTCGTGTTTCATGCATTCACAACAATATGCCTTACCCCAGACACAGAACTTCCAATGAATATTTGCTTTACAAACTCAGAGCTAGATTCTTTTGCCTTTTAACTTTGCTCTTGTTTAAGTTTTCTAAGACTGAACCTTCTTTAGTATAAATTTTATATTTATATTTTCTTATTACTTGTTGCATGGTCCCTCTTAAAAACTGTTTTCTTTCGCATGTAACGTTGTTATAATTCAATAAAGTTGTGGACTGTTTTTTATGGTTCGAGCCAAGCGATACTATTAACTAGGAGACAAACACATCAGACAAGGTAAGAACAAAGTTCTTATGAATAAT